AACTGAGCAGATACCCATGGCCTATCTGAGTATTTGTTTTGCTAATTTCACCATCATGGAGAGGCAGAGAAACCCATACACACACACACACACACACATGTACATACATTGAGGCAGATACATGCCGATACGTGCACACACGAAGTACACATAAAATGCACAAATATTCACCTGTATAGAAAACACATTAAAATATACATGACATATACAAAGGCAAGCATAAGTATATATAACATATATGCAGAAAACCATAGTTAAACACATGCATGAACAAACATATGCACAAACATACACAAAAATACACACATGTAAGTATCCACAGTCATACATACAGGCCAGACGCTGGAACAAATGGTTCTTCCCAGTACCTGAACAATGATTTGGTCTGTTGGTCTACTTTATCCCTGACCTGGAGAAAAATTGTAGAAATTATAATACAGGGACTGAGAAGGGAAAATATTGGCTTTGAGTGTATAAACATCTCTGTCCTAAAAGAAAATGTTAATTTTGCCCTAAGTCAAATGTTGACATATATCAGCTGCTACTGAAGATGTGTCACTGTAGGAAATGTTCTCTCTGCTCCCAAGAATGAAGACCAGGCTGAAGTCTTTTCTCTGAAATGTTAACTGGCTTAGAATCCAAAAAGGTTTGAATTAAGAGTTTTAGGAACTTCCTTAGTTCTTAAAAACAGTAAATTCCCAGGACACCTTCCTAAGGCAGGGAGCAGGGAGCAGAATTCTGCTTTGTGAAATGCGCTGCTTTCTGCAAAGCCCTCATCTGCAAAGACTCAGGCTCTGCTTATGTGTGCCAGGGGGCAGGATTTTACTAGACATATGGAGGAAGTGTAGGAGCACAAAGAAAGGACAGACTCTACAGGCAGGGGGAAATTTCCAGAGCTAGACCCTTCACTACTCTTTCCTCTACTGCTCCCAAAATATGCAGTTTAAATATTCTTTTTTGCTCAACACCTACATTTTAAAAATTCCAAGTTAAAATCTACCCTTTCCCCACAACACACATGCATACACGCACGCACACCCTTTTAACTTGCTAACTTTGAAAGATGATGAGATCCACCACTAGCGAGCTCTGCCAGTCTGCAGAGCGAAGGCCAAGATCAATGCAGAAGGTTGGTGCAGTGTTGCCGCAGAGCTGCGTGATCAGAATGCAAGATGGAGCTCAGGGGGAAAGGCCAAGAAATATGTCTGCGCTTGGAGTTTACACAAGTCTCCTTAGCAACTTGTCTGAATTTATTTTTTCCCTTAATGTGCATGAGTTTCTTCCAAATCCTGAATGCAAGGGGAGTAAGTAGTCTCTCACAGTCCCCCCTTTTCCCTCTACTGGAGTAAAATCTGCATTTGGTGAGGCTTTCTCCTCCCTAGCAGCACCACCCCCTACTCCCACCATGGAGGTAGCTCTGATCCTTTGCATTGTGACTTTGTGGACTGTTGGTAGCTTTCCAAAAATCCACATCTTCACTGGGGAGTGCTAGAGCCCGCTGCCGATGGCCACAGCTGTGAGGATTTGTGCTGCAACCTCGCTGTGTAGGGTGGGTGCTCCTGCTTGTGAACGTGCCCGTTTGTACGCCTGGGTGACAGGAAAGAAGGGGGAAACAGCGGAGCTCCCTTCCTCTCTGTGATTTCTTTTTTTTTTTTCCTCTTTTGCTTTGCCTGCTTTTCGCATCCTCCTTCTCCTCCACCAACACAAAAGCCTGGGCAATTCTAATTAGAAAATGAATATAAGGCTATTAGACAAAACTGACTTGGAGAGATTGGATATGTTAAATTTCACATGAGTGCTTTAGCAGAGAGAACCCTAAATACTGCAGTGGTTTTCCCTAAAAGTACTTAACCTTCAGACAGCCCTGGGGAGTAGAGATGGTACCTCATGGAGCCAATGCTTAATATAAATCTTAATATTTCTCCTTTTTTGCTCCTCCCATTTTAAAGTCAGGAGAAAAAAAAAAAAAAAGAAAAGAGAAACCTAGCCAAAAAATGTTAAGGTTTGATTTTTGGCTCTTTTACAAACAGATGTTGCTTGTCATTCTGTTGTTGTTAAGCAAGCGCCAGATTGGACCAAGCAGCAGTGTGTGTGTGTGTGTGTGTGTGTGTGTGTGTGTGTGTGTGTGTGTATGGGGGGCAGAGTGGGGAATGAATATTAGAGGTAGGCAGAGGACTGGACAGCAAAAGAAAAAACTGAGTTTTGTGTAAGTTGAGACCAACAAGTAGGTATATGGGTTAATATTTTTTTCCAAACTTCAATTTGGCAGAGACGATATAAAATTTTATTCTAGTTGGCTGCCTGTCGTTCCGAAAGAAGGGAGGAATGTAGAAATCGTAGGCAGGAAAGTCCTGGATGAGAGAGGTGGCCTCCTGGGGTGCAGCCACAGCAGGTCTGTGGCTATCCCCCTCAGTGGACCTGTGCCCTGGACTGAGGAAAAGGGCTTTCTGCTTCAGCGGAACCTAGTTTCTTGGGTTTGATAATTGCTTCTTTTCTGTAAGTATCATTGTGGAAGTTCCAGGCTCTTCTGTATCTTTCCCAGTACAAGAACTCATTGTTTCACTGTTACAGCCCTAAAGAGTACTGCTTTTTGTTTTTGTTTTTTTTTTTTTAACATATTGTACATCTCTTTCCTTGCAGAATCTAAGTGATTTAATCCGTTCTCCCTGTCGCCCCATTTTCTAATCTAATTGTGGTATGCTTTCTCAAGAGCAAAACATAGTTTTGCATAGAAAATCTTGAAGTTGGCTGCTGTATAACAAGCATTCGGGAGGCATGTAGTTCATTTATATTAATGTAATGACAGACATCTGATTTTTAAAAAATGTCTCATGTTTCCTGGTCACAATCAAGATCTTATTATTTCATTTCAACCCTACTTCTCTGCTCTAATATTAACAATATAGCTCCCCAGGAAGTTATAGGCTAGCCCTGTTTCATGTTTTAAAAGGAAGAAAAATTGTCATCGTGAGAAACCTATGCCTTTCCAAAGTGAAAGCAGTCTCGAAGCCAGCTGTACACGAAGCAACTTGTTACTGGCAAAACCTTTCTCTTTTGTTTCATCGAGCGTGTCAAGAGCAAGTTTGCTTCCTATTTCTCCCTCTTAAATTGTTGATCTCTGTTACAGGTCTCTGGTAAGTGATCAGGAAGGGGGTTTAGATTTTTTTACTACAGAAAAATAGTAAGTCCACACCTTATTCTGAGGACGCCATTTTTATCCTGTTCTGAGATGCTGTTTTTCCATGTACTCTGTTCTTTAGTCAAACTACATGTGCTTGTATTTGTCATTTTCCATAACATTTTTTAAATACAGGGAGCATGGGTAGGAAGATTACAATTACCAATTGCTAAACTTCCCATGGCTAGAAAGGAGCAGAAAAATCATGGCATGGCTTTGTTGGTCTCTGTGCTCCCCTCTCCATTGTGGTCAGTTTTCCTGGGTAGAGAATTAATTCAGCCTGACTGGCTGGCTTTGGTACTACGCTGTGCTGGAGAAATGCCTCCGTGCTGTGCTCTGGTACCCTGGTGGCAGCATCGCAGGACGACACGTGGCATGATGCATGGCATGGCAGTCCCTGGAGAAGCGACTGCTATATGTGTCTCTTTTATGGAGGGAAGTGAATTTTTAAGGAAAAACAAAACCCCCCAAAAAGCAGACTGCAGGGGTTGAAATAAATGACCTCAGGAAAACTAAAAATCCATAAAAGGGGCAAAAGCTAGCTCTCTCCCTTACTTTGTGATGTTGGGCATCAGGGTGACTGCTGAAGCCTTCTTTTCCTTGTCCTTTGCCCTTCTTTCTGTGTCGTGGTCCTCTTTCTGACTCTGTCTGTCTGTCTTCTTTCTTTATTTTTCTATCTCTTTTATGTTTCTTTTTTCCTCATCACGCCATCCTTTCTTCCTTCATCAAAATTGTCAATCAAATTGCACCATCTCTGGGACAAAGGAAATCCACTGGGATTTTTCTCCTTAAAAAAGGAGAGGAATAAAGGGCAGAAAGTATTTCTGTGTGTATCGCTCTGCTGACATCACCATGGATTTGGTGTTCAAATCCAGGACAAAACTCAAATAAATTTTCCCCTTTGAAAGCAGCTGCAGAATGAGGTTGCTTTCTATTAGTAAAAGAACAATGAAGGCAATGCAAATCCTGCCTGTAAAACACGACCAGTGAAAGAACATTGGAGTGGAAGCTGGGGATTTAGCTCAGCGGCATAAGCAACTGCCTTGCAAGCAGGTGGTTGTGAGTTTGATTCCCGGTACCGGTAAAAAAAAAAAAAAAAAAAAAAAAAAAAAAGGACAAAAAAAAAATGTTTGAATGGAAGCCAGGAATCCTGTGAAAAGGGTTAGAGTCACCAATCCTCCACAGTCACATAGCTGTCCCCTTTTTTGGTGGACCAAGAATTGAACTCACGACCTACAGGCACTTTGCTGCTGAGTTATATCCCCAAACCCTACCTGTTGCTATTTAACAACCCTGTCAGAAGAGAGAAAAGAGGGATCCTGAGTAATTTCAGAATCAGAAAGCTAAAATGGTTTCTCAAAGATGCTACAGCAGGCCAGGCAGTTACTGCGGTATTTGGTGATTGTACCATACCCATTTTTAAGTGTTAATAGTTTATCTCTTCATCAGTTTTGACAAGTAAGTAGTTTGGTATAAAACACTGAAATTTGAGAGTACTCTGAGATTCACATTCCTATTTGATTATTCTTTGGGTATAATCATTTTCAAGGTCTCTTGGTAGCCAGGGAAATTCCAGGAAAAATGTGAAAGTTACTTATTTACAGAACCTCTTTATTATGTGTTTTGCTGGAAATGAAGTAAACATAATGCTCCCAGTGTTTTCAGAAATGCTTTTATTTCAGTTTTTGGTATTTTTTGTACTCTTGTTCTGGTGTTACTTTCAACTTAACTTTACAAAAGGACCGGATGATTAAAAAGTAACCAAGCAACAATCAAAGAAGACTGACCCAATTAAAAATATTTTAAATGTCTTATTTTCTAGACACAAGTGAATGATTTGAAGATATGATTCTAGCAAAACGGATGCAGATTTAAAATAATAAGATTCCTAAGAAGTTACGTTTTTTTCAGGTAAACACATTTTCTTATAATTTCCCCCAAATCTTTACATTTCCTAAATCATTGCACATTTTTAAAGAGTGTTAAAGAATATTATATTTTAAGTGTAATTTAAAAGATAGCAACCGCTTTATAATTTCCATGGTCAGGGAGGTCACTAGCCATGGCAGTTGATTCTATGGAATATGAAATAATTTTTAAAATTCAATCTCTAAAAAAACTTTCTCCTTTGTGACAATGATAGCAGAACTCATTTGAAAGTAACAGGTACTGTCCTAAACTCTGGTGATAGTGGGCATCTAAGTTCAAAAGTGTAACAGTTAGAGGGTTGGCTCCAAAAGGCCTAAAAAGTGTTCAGAGAGATGGAGAGATTCAGAGAGATGGAGTTTGTATACACCTGCAATGACAATGCTGATGTTTTAAATTTAGTCCTAGGTTGGTGATACTATGTGATAGCTTGTGGAACTATTCTCGTACACAGCCAGTGAGCAGGACAAACTCAGCTGTCATGACATAGGTAGTTACTCTGTATAGTGTCATTAAAGGCATTTGCACTCCTCAAAGTGTTTAACAACATAAATGATGTATTTGCTCGGTAAGTTACTCTGCGTTGGCCATTGTTTATAGGCATTAGCTCGTATCTTTCAATTCAATTATTGGTATTACTGCATGTGAAGGATCAAGAAATCTTATTGAATGAGGGAAGCCAAACTTTCCTCTGAAAAGAATCCATCCTTATTTTCCTCCTCCAGTCAAAGAAGATTCTAAGGGAAATCTTCAATTACGATATTAGAGAAGATGTCTATTATCAAACATACTCCTTCACTATTAAGTCAGTATTTCCTTTTATTTTTTTTTCTTCTCAGCAGCCTGGCTATCTTCTGATTGCTCTTTTATTGTCTGAATTTAAAACTTTAGATTGTTTGGAAGTTAATATTAGTAATTATTTTAAGTGAATAATTTATATCTGTCCTATATATGCCACAGAAAAATAAAAAGATGCTCCCAGATGAAATAGCATTGAACTCCTTTCTACAGACATAGTACCATGAAGATTTATGAATGAGGTGCTATCTGAATGACTAAATGTACCACTTTGATGTATTGTGGTCCATTGCTAACAGTGCGGTCATATTGCATTGCGTTATTTTAATAACCATGATATGGGTTGAGTATCCCTTATTCAAAATAATTAGAACCAGAATATTTCACATTTCTGATGGTTTTGAGTTTTGGAATACTCTCAAATATATTGAATTATTTTGGCAATGGAATCCAACTCTAAATACAATATTCATTTGTGTCTCTTTATACCTTTTGCACATGGCCCAAAGGTCATTTCATATAGCATTTTTAGTGTATCTGCTTTTGATTGAGATCCTTTACCTGTGGTCAGAATTTTCCCTCTGTGGTAGGTATCATGTCAGCACTCAGAAAGTTTCAGGTTTGAATGCATTTCAGATTTTGCATTTTTGAATTAAGGATGCTTAGTCTGTAGTAACAGTCTCATTTATTCTGAAAGCTTGGGTCTGTTCTCCTAGATTTTCATTTGACCTCCTATGTCACACATATTTCAGCAATCTTGCAGTGTTCAAGTACCTGTCATTAAATACCTGTGGTCCCATTTCTTTGTCAGGGATATCAAAGGAAAATAAGCATCCAAAGGCTGATTTTAAACCTTTTATTTTATAAAGGAAGTGAACATTTTTAAATCAAATAAGTTAAGGCCATTTGGGGGTTTTCAGGTATGGATACTACTTATTTCCACTTGCTATGGTTGTGTCTTTAAATCTGCAAATCCATTTTTCCAGAGCTACAAGTCAGTTCTCAGTTTTGGCCCCCTCCACAGCACGTCAGGCTCCCGCAAGAAACAAGCAGTCAGTGAAGTACTGATGGGTGTTGAGTCTCTCCGTTCCTGTTCTTCCCTCTGTTGGCTTCCTGTTCTGTCAATTTCACCTTTTGGGTTATATACAGAGGGCCCAGTCTTTTCTCTGGGTAATTCCCTAATCAGTGCTGTCTTTTTGATATGAGTAGAGCCTCGCTTCATCAGCAGGCTTCTTGAAAAAGGCGTGAGGGTCCATGTGTCCAGGCAAAGGAGATTGTTTTGAGGCAGGACTTATAATAATAGCTAGCAAAAGTTACAAAGGTCTGTTTTAGGTCATTCAAAAGGATGGAAGTATATGCTTTTCCCAGCACATAGAGACGGAAACTATTGAGCTTTCCAACATGCATCCTTGAAATATATATGGTTAAAAGTATGTCTTCAAGAAAATTCACAAAAGGAACCATTAATAAAGTCTTAGGTGCCCATTATTAGATGTAGAACTTTGGCTTTCCAGAAAGGATGGTATGTTGACAAATAAAATGTTTTAAAAGAAAGAAATAAATTCTTCTCTGTACTCACAGTTTTGGGAGTAGCAATTATATAATCTCCTATGTAATTTCCTAGATCTTATATGATTTCAAATGTATCCAAATTTGCTCATGGTTGGTATTTGGACCAATAATGGGATCAGATGGGCATCAAACCAAAAAGTTTTCATGAAGATGAAACTTTCAATCTCATGTACGTGGAGATCTCTAGCATAGTGTTCAGAAAGCACTTTCAAATCTGTTGCTAGTGCTTGCTGGTTTATTCCAGGTGTTTTCAAGAATGCACATGAGAAAGTAAACTTTCTTCATCCTTTTACAGGAATCACGGGTATTTAAAAGAATGACCTTGCACTCCAACGTTCATGTGTTTTATCTCTCTCTGTTTATTATTTGAAGCATTTTTTTAAAATTCTGATTTTTTTGCCACATCAAAATTACTTGGCTCAGATCATCTGTTTAGGATGCAAGATGTAAGGATTCCATGTATTGCACAGTAAAATGCTGAATTTTATCTAAAACCCACTGCATTGTGGGGTAAGTGACTACTAAGGGAAATACTCAGAAAAGAATAGATTTTACTTACCTTTACTTAACTTTTGCCCGGTTAAGAACAGAATAAAATCCTTGCCATTTCTGGCATAAAACAATCGAATGACAGAATCTTGTTGGACTAATGACTTTAATGTTTTATTTTCAGACAAATCCCCACAGGAGAGAAGATCCTGAGGCCTGTTGCCACAAACCCGTAGATCCGAACTTGTGGTGATTGTCCACACAAGCTTGTGTCTACAGGTCTGTGTCTGTGAGGCGCTGTCACAGACCCGGGCTCTGCCTGGCTGCCACTCAATATCCCTGCTCATCCATTTATTCTCCCCCTCTCTTCTCTCACTTTCCTTCGAGAGTGGGAGAACTGGAAGGTGGGGCTGAAGTGGAGAAAGGTGACCTTTGAATCTGAAATAGATAAGGTTAATTAATAGGCCTGCCCTCCATTTGGTATCTCTTCAAACAGGTCTCAGCTGCCAAATTAGGAAACCAAGCTTGTAGGTGAGACGGGAAGAATTCCTGTGATTCAGATGACTGCTGAGTGAGGATAAATAGATGTGCAGACAAAGGTTCCTTTTGTTTTCTGGAAGCTTGGCTAATTGTTTTCCAAGTTATTATGATCTTTTCTGGGAAGTGACAGCGACTTGTTTGCAAAACCAATCTCACCCTAGTTTGGGTTGTACCTTGTAACAATTTTCCTCCCACGTTATTCGCCAAGTGCAATCCAATCAGTCTTTGTCTTAATAAGCAAGATGATTGAAGGGAAAGCATGTGTTTACCTACTTAACTATTTATACTTCTGTAAATACTCATCAGGATAAGATTTTTTTTTTAAAATATGGCCTGTTTAGATCCAAATTCATCTTTGTCCTGAGCTGTTTTATAAGTCTTTATCATGTTTAAAAGACTGGAATGAAAATAATTTTATCCCTTTGCCTCTTAAATGTCACCATTGTGCCAGAATTGGAAAGCCAAGCTGACCACAGATCAAAGCAAAATTGGCTATATTTGTCTTATTCCAACAATGTGAGCCGAAGAGTCTGTAAACAGAAACCAGGGTGAAAAGTTGATCAGATTTGGAAGCTTGGCATTCCCTTTCCTCTAGCAGAGTACCAGTGATTCCTTTAAGCCTTTTAAATCTGTGTGTGTGTGTGTGTGTGTGTGTGTGTGTGTGTGTGTGTGTAAATGAAATATTTGTTAGGTTACCATCAGAAAACAGTTTGAAATTCAAGTGAATTTTTTTTTGAGAAATGGATGTATTTTTAATTTCTTTATTTTAAAAAGCAAAACAGAAAAAAAAGGGTAGAAATGGTACAGAATTACAAAAAAGTAGGGAATTAATATTAGTTAATATATTGCATATAGTTATCTCACAACTAGTTGTTCAGGTTAAAAAACCTAGACACAAAAATGATCACTCAAACAATGATAGCACAAACTGTTCTTTTTGATGAACGAAGAGAGATTAATAGTTTAGTTAACTGACTAGCATACATATACATACATACATTTGTATATTTTTGCCCACATACATACATATGACCTTTTCCTTTCTTACTTTATAACTTTTTTCCTTTTCCCTATCTCAGTAGTTCTGTCCTTTCTTTCTCATTCACTATTACAATATCTATTGTATATTTTGGATTTTATTACTCTTTCAGATTTTTATTTTTTATTATTTTTATACTAGGAAGAAAATATGATATTTATAAATGTGAGTTTGATTTATTTCACTTATGAGTATGGTCTCAAGTTGCCTCCATTTACCAAAAGAAATTACCAATAGATTAAGAAAAAACCTACAGAATGGGAAAAATTTTAGCCAGTTGTTCCTCAGACAAGGCACTTATATTTAGAACGTAAAAAGAACTGAAAAACATCAGGGCCCCAAAATTCAAAGACCCAATCCAAAAATGGGCTTCAGAGATGCACACACATTTCTCAGATGAAGAAACACACATGGCAAATAAATACATGAAGACATGCTCAACATCACTGGGCATTCAAGAAATACATATTAAAAAAACATTGCGATTCTATCTCACTTCAGAAAGAATGGCTGCCATCAAGAAATCAACTGATACCAAAGGCTGGTGAGGCTGGTGGTGGGGAAAAAGGAACCCTTCTCCACTGCTGGAGGGAGTGTAGACTGGTGCAACCACTGTGGAAATCAGTATGGAGATTCCACAAAAACTAGCATTAGAGTTCTTATTTGACCCAGGTATTTCCATTCTGGGTATTTGCCCAGAAAAGTTGAAAATGTCATGCCACAGCTATATATGTGCACCCATGTTTATAGCAGCACAATTTGTTAATAGCTAAATCTTGGAAACAACCAAAATGCCCATCAATTGCACAATGGATAAAAAAGATGTGGTATTTTTCTACAGTGGAATATTACTCAGCTATAAAAGGATAATCTTGAGGCTTTTACAAGTGAATATATTTTAACTTTTCTTAGGAGCCATACTGTTTAGAAACAGCGAGAACTTTTCTATGAAATATATTGAAATGAAATTTTGTGTTTCTCAATTAGAAAGACCTAAGCATAGGTCACATTTGCAGACGTGACAAAATATGTAGCACTGTAAGCGCTAGATCCAAGAGGGTACTGTTCTATGCATGGCCTTTGCATTTGCTTTCTACTGACTTGAAGAAGGTTTTAGGTAGGTTTCAACTTCCAATTTGTGGATGAACCATTGCTTCCATATGGAGTGACAGAACATTGCATTCAGAAGATAAATCCTGCCTTCATCAGTGGGTGTCGTATATATTTGTTAGCTCAAGGTCTTTATCCACCTACGATGCAAACGTCTACTCAGTGCATTTTACATACTCCTTTGAAATGGTTGACTTGGAATATGTAACTTGCCAATAAATTAATCTTATACTTCTACTGTGTAAACAGTTGTTCGTGCAGGCAACATCATATTTCTCCTCCTGATCCTTTCACCTGCCACTGTTAACTGTGCTACTGGTGGGATTAATGGTGGTGTTCATGGATCCGTGGGGATTTGAGTTCTCAGTCTTCCCTACACAGAACCACTAAGACTGCAAGATGGTCAGGAGGTGGTTGCTGGATTGCTCTTTCAACTGGCTTATAAATCTTTGATCCCAAAGGGGAAAAAATAGGTAGAATATCTACCATTTCCAATCTTCTAAAAGACCTCGAGCATTATTTGTTTCATTTGGCTAGAAAATATTCTAGTGGAAAACCTAAAGGCTCTGGACACTGACTACAAGAAACAGGATATTAAATACTTTATAATAATAAAAGTCGGTATTTTTTTCCTTCTTCCATGTTCATCAGTGAATGGTTCTCTACTATTAATTATCCCGTGGATTTTACCACATATTCTACAGAAAGCATGCAGAAAGTAGAAAGTAAGGTAATTTCAAGATTCCTCACAGGCTGTGAAAATATACAATAGCCAATCTAGCACGG